TGCAAATAAAATATTTTGCAACAAAAATATTTATATTAAATGGGTTATTAGTGTAAAATCTTTTTTTTATTTGTATGCTGGTGTTACGGGAGATGGAGTGAATGCACTCAACTCAAAATCTCATCTCGGTAATACAATGACGCTGTTAAAATTGCTATTAGAATGCCTAAATCTCGAGCTCTTTTTAGGAGTCGAATCAATTAGATTTGACACAGAATTTAAGAAAAGGAAAAAACTCAATATGATATTGATTTTTTAGAAAAAACTCATTTAAGTATCTGTTAAAAGTTTGGTTCATCTATTTCATCATCATTTAAGAAAAAAATTATCTATGTTATTATTTTTTAACTCTAATTTCGCAAAACCCACTTTTTACACTCCAAATAGCTCTTAACATTTTTAAATTGAGATTTTTGGGTCGAATGCACTCTTTTTGCATCATCATACATCATAGACTCTCCACTGATGATAAAGTTAGGAGGTTTGGTATTGACATTAATACTAATTGCAGTTGCTGTTTGTGTACACGTACAACACTAACATTGGAGACCGGACCACCTCTTCTATAATGGTTAATATCGAGACATTATCTTTAGTTGAGCTTCAAAAAATACGAATCTAAACTGATCAATTGTTAGATTATACACCTTATTTTTAGGCATTATTTTAGCGTGCAAATTGTCAAGTTCTAACAATTTATTTTATCCATTTATGGAATAATTATTTGAACTCGAAACAAAGCTATCAAAGAAAACTTAGGTGATAGAGGTATGTATGCTTCTTAAAATAATTCAGTAAAATCCGTACATAAATCACTTGAATTCAATACAAGAAATGATGTTTCCTGTCAAAGTTCATTGAAGTACTTGATTGGACATATGAAGCTTATTGATTTTGAGATCAATGTTTTTGCGAAGGGACAATAAAGGTAAAAATATTAGGAAAGTTCAACAAAACCTCAAATCATAAATATTATAACTAGACTAGTGCATGGCTTCTGTCATAAGTAACTAGTTATGACATTTATTATTTGTGGTTATGTCAAACTTTCCTAACAATTTTCATCTTTATGTTTCTTATGCAGAAATATCGATCACAAAAACAACAAGCTCCACCAGCTACTTCAGTGAACTTCAATAGAGAAAATCATTTCGACGTATTGAATTCAAGTGACTTATCTACAAATTCTAACTAATTATTTCAAGAAACATACATACCTCAACCACCTTACTTTTCTTTTATAGCTTTACCGAGTTCAAACGATTATTCGTTGAACGAATGAAATGATTGGGATGAATTGCTAGAGCTTGATAATTTCGATATTGAGATAATGTCAGAAAATCAAGGTGTTGATTCTAACAATTGGATAGATTACATTCATATTTTGGAAAGATCAACTAAAGATAATGTCTCCACAAGGTTGGTTTCACTATAGCAAAATACAATTCTGCTATTATTGTATTTGTTAAATTCTTGTACTCTTATTTAGACTAGATGCTCAATTACTGATTGATTTCAGGTCTTAGGGGATTATTTCATGGTCGTATTTATGTTGATAATTCCTCTTTATTCTCATTACTTTATGGATGTTTCTACTTATTGTTATTTTCTGATAGTTTTTTGCTTCTTGTTTTTTTACTGTAGATTATGCGTACCTATTGGTAGGATATAGTAGGTGTCATCATGATCTATGAAATTGGATCATGATAAGTTGATATTAGAGTTATGGGTTGTCTGACATCATTGGTATGAGAGAAAATGTTTAATAGAGTCGTGTGAATCGGCGTGGGACATCTAGTTTCCTATCTTCAAGAGGTAATAGGGTGCATTACCATAATCAATTCGATTTATAAGTCAAACAACTCATGTTGGCTAAATAATTATTATCAAAAATTCATGCACTGCTCGAGCTTGAAACAATGGAAACTTTGATTACAATCAGTAAAAAAGTTAAGTAGAGAAGACAACTTGTAGAATGCAAAGCTTGAATGGTTCTATTTCATCAGTGAAGTATATATACACATTAACTGGAAGTTTGCTAACTAACTATACACATTGAATACATGAGCCACCTAACTCTCTAACCAATTCTATAACTAACTATGTGAACTGTACAATATAACACATGAGCTGTAATTGTGCAATATAATACTTAATACCCCCTCAAGTTGGAGGTGAAGATAACAATTCCAACTTGTCAAGGATAGAGTGTTTGATTCCTGTTAAGGCTTTGGCCAATATGTCAGCCAACTGGTCTTGTGTAGCAATATGATGCAATGAGATAAGTCCTTATTGTAAGACATGTCTCACAAAGTGACAGTCTACCTCAATGTGTTTGGTTCTTTCGTGAAAAACAGGATTCTTGGCTGTGTAGAGAACACCCAATTCAGTAAGGAATAGGATTTGGATAGGGAACACCCAATTCAGTAAGCAGTCAACTTATCCAAACTAATTCACCTATAACTTTCCTGAGTGATCTGTATTCAACCTCTACTGATGATAGGGAGATAGTTTCTTGCTTCTTCGACTTCCAGCTTACTGGACTGCCCCCAAGTAATACTATAAATGCACTCACAGACTTCCTAGAATCTAGACATGAGGCCCAAATCTGAATCACAGTAGCCCTTCAAAGAACAATTTGCATCTTTGGACAAAAACAAACCCAATGTAGGATCAGACTTCAAGTATCTTACAAGGTGAAAAGCAGCCTGCAAATGTGGCTCTCTAGGGTCCTGCATGAACTGGATTAAGTGTTGAACACTAAAAGCAATATCCAACCTTGTGTTTGTAAAGAAGTTGAGTTTTCGAACTAACTTTCACTAGTAAGTACTATCACTCAGAACAGGACCTTCCTTAGCTCTCAACTTGGTTCTGGGATTAAAAAGGGAAGATAAGGAGCTCAGATGCAAACAGTCATACTCCTTTACTAAATCAAGTACAATTTTTTTTGCGAGACAATAATTCCATGATCTGTGTGAAGCACCTCCACTCCCAAGAATAGTAAATTAATCCCAAATCCTTAATCTTGAAATTTTTGTTTAGATAAACTTTCAAGTCTGCTATCTCATCAGCATCTGTACCTGTAAGGACTATATCATCAACATACACAGCCACATAAACTGCTAAAGTTATTGTCTTCTTGTAGAATAGAGAATAGTCATACATAGAGTGAGCATATCCCCTAGAACATAAAGCTTCAGTGAGCTTACCATACCATTGTCTACTATCCTGCTTGAGTCCATAAAGGGACTTGTTCAACTTGCATACCAAATTAGGAGACTGGACAAGAAGTACATGTGGTACTTCCATGTACACTTCCTCATATAGATAACCATGAAGGAAGACATTATTTATGTCCAGCTGATACATAGTCCACCCTTGTTTAACTTCTATGATCAATAAGGCCCTGACTGTAGTCATTTTCACTACAGGGGAGAAAGTCTCAATATAACAATGCCTGGTTGCTGTGTATAACCTTTGACAACAAGTCAAGCCTTGAGTCTTTCTATGCTTCCATCCGCCTTGTGTTTCACCTTGTAGACCCACCTGCATCCTCTAGCTTTCTTCCCAGGGGAAGTGGAACTAAATCCTAAGTGCAATTTGAGTGTAAGGCATCAAACTCTTGTGTCATGGCAATCTACCATACATGATCAATGACAAATTCTTCATATGAAGTTGGTTCCTTGTCAATAAAAAGATTTCTAACAATATCTTGACTAGCAGGAATTAGAGCACTATGAGCCAAGTGATGGTGATTGGATAAAAGAGCTTGAAGGGAAGGGGTAATGTTTGAGTTTTAAGGAACAGGTGGTTTAAGTGGAGGTATACAGTGAACATAATCATTCATATGTTTTGGAGGTTTGTGACATCTAGTTGATATTCTAGGCTCAGTTTGTGGGAAAACATGAGGTTGGTTAACAATTAAGGGTGCAGGTGGTACAGATGGGGAAGGCATGGATGCAGTGGGATTAGGTGACAAGTCACAAGCAACATTAGGACCATTTGAACTATTTAGAGTGTCCTTTGTGCAATTCTTATAAAAAAAATCCAAAATATCAATGAAATGGGTAAACTAGTTGTTTTTGAAGGGGAATTATTAGAAGGAAATTTTTTTATGAAAAACAACATCTCTGGAGACATATATTTTACCCATGGACATATTTTTGTACCCTTTTGTGTCATGAGGATATCCAATGAAAATATGAGGCTAGTTCTTGGTTCAAACTTAACTCTATGAGGTATGAGTAAAGTAGGGTAACAAAGAAATCTAAAACTTCTCATGTGTGAATAGTTGGTTTTTTGTGGTATTGCATTTCATAGGGACATTTTTTGTTTAGCACATTGGATGGGAGCCTATTTATCATATAAGTTGCACAAAGAATGCATTCTCCCCAATATTTAAGAAGTAGCTTAGACTGAAATAACAATGCTCTAGCAGTCTCAAGAAGGTGTTTGTGCTTTCTCTCCACCACACCACTTTTTTGTGGTGTGTAGGGTCAAGTTTTCTGGTAAAGTATACCTTTGGTTTGGAAAAAATGGTAGCCTATACATTGATAAATTCTAGACCATTTTTTGTTTAGACTGTTTTGAAAGTGGTTTCAAATTGGTTTTCTATCATAGCAATGAAGTCTGAGAGTTGGTAAAACATTGCTCTTAGCACTTAATAGTTGAGTCCAAGTGGACCTACTAAAGTCATCCACAATGGTGAGGAAATACTTAAAGTGGTTATGTGTTGGTGTATGATAAGGCCCCCACATGTCAACATGAAGCAATTCAAAAATGTGTGATGTTAGTGTGGTTCTTGGTTTAAAAGGTAGTCTTTCTTGTCTTGCCATAGGGCAAATGGAACACATAAAAGGTTATTTGGCTGGGAATTTGACAGGGATAGTGGAAATATCTCTCATTTTGACAAAAGGGACATGTCTCAGTCTTTTATGCCATACAATGTCTACATGATTTCCAACACATGGTTGAGAATTAGAAGCACAAGAGATTAGACATGAAATAGAATCAGATACATTTTCTTATTGAGAATATGAGTATATTGCTTGTTATCTAAAGAATGAATAGACTGTATGTTACTACAAGTATTGCAAAAATCACATGGAATTACACTACTACATTCTAAAAATTGAAAGAGTTGTTCAAACAACTTGGACACAGGAAGTAGAGACCCTCTTCTGCACTACCAATCACCATAGGCCTCTTCATTGAGGGGCCTGCATGAAACAAGAAATTTTGGTGAATTGAACAGTGTATTTTGAGTGCGCAGTTAGAGTATGAATAAAAATAAATTCATAATTAAAAGATGACACATACAGAATTTTATCTAAAATGATCATAGGTCCTAATGTCACACTACCAACTTGGGTCACCTTAACTTTGTATCCATTAGGCAAGGCAACTAACAAAGGATATGGTAAAAGTGTGATGTTGTGTAGTAGATAGATATTGAAGGCCATGTGGTTTGAGGCTCCCGAGTCTAATATCCATGAGTCAGATTTATTTTTGAAACAATTACATGAAATTTTTCCAAAATCAATAGAGGACGTCCAAACTATGATACCTGCAAAGTCAATTGCTGGTCCATTAGCATGCCGTTGGATCCTTCATTCTCATGTTGCTTGTGGAATTGCTGAAGCATGCCTTGAACATGACCATATTGGTTTTTGGTAAGGCTCACATTATACATCTCCCCATCTGATCTTCTACCAGGGGTAAATTCAGGTGTGCAATTAGCATTTGCTACAACATTATTGTCGGATCCCCCCTCATTGTTCCTTTGATTTCCTTTGTGAAAAGTATTAGGCCTCGGAGTTGGATTGTTTCTTTGATTTGGATTTGAACTAGTTGGATATCCATGGAGTTGATAACACTTCTCAACAAGATGACCATTCCTATGGCAGTAAGTGCAAAAATTTTCCTTGTATTGAAGCTGAGAGTGACTATGTGAGCTATTAGGAGCATAGTTTGTCTGGTAGGATGAAGTAGACTTCATATTTGATTAAGGCTGATATTTCCACCATATAAAGTAGTAGCAGTAGCTTCTACATTAAAATGGTTAGAAGGTTTAGTGTCCCTTTGGTGTTCATTCTGGACTAAAAGAGAAAAGGCTTGAGCGTTGGCAGTGGATTCATCATAAGTATGCTCCCATGAATAATTGTGTACATCTTGTTCAACCCCATGAGGAATTGGATTAACCTTCTATATTATTTTGCTTTGTGAACAAGTACCTTTGCTCCGCAAGTACAACTGCAAGTGCACTGAGCTTTGGCATTCAAAATACTGAGCTCTTTCCATAGCTTCTTCAATTTGGTGTAGTAACTATGATATCAAGAGATCCTTGCGATAATGCGTTAATTTCTCTTCGTATCTGGTACAATTTTGCACCATTGGTTTGTTCATATCGATCTTCAAGTTCTCTTCATAATTTTGCAGAATCCTTAACATACTCAACACTATCTGCAATATTCTTAGATAGAGAATTCAGGATCCAATAGGTAACAATATCATCACATCTCTCCCATTGTCTGTATAATTAATCATTGGATTGAGGACGTGGGCAATTCCCATTAATGAAGCCTAACTTGTTCTTCACTAAAAGTGATCTCAGAACACTATGCCTCCAGGAACAAAACCCAATTCCAGCAAATTGAACTGGTACAAGCATTGCTCCGGAATTATTAGAAGTATGCATATAGAGAGAATGAATGGAATCAATTATGTTGCTGGTGGAACCACCAGATTGATCAAAACTTGTAGTATAAGCCATAGATGAACAAAGAAGAAGAAGAATGCAAGAAACAATGAACAACGAGAGAGAAACAAAATCCACAAAATCACAGGTCAGATCATAACTATGCAATCGCAGATCAGATCGTAAGAAGATGAATACCTCAGAATCAAGATTTCTCTAATACCATATCAAAAATTCATGCATTGTTCGAGCTTGAAACAATGGAAGCTTTGATTACAATCAGTAAAGAAGTATAAAAGAGAAGATAACTTGTTGAATGCAAAGCTTGAATGTTTCTATTTTATCAGTGAAGTATATATACACATTAACTTGAAGCTTCTAGAATATTACACTTTGAGCTAACTAACTATACACATTGAATACATGAGCTAACTAACTCTCTAAACAATTCTATAACTAACTATGTGAGCTGTACAATATAACAGATGGGTTGTAGTTGTGCATATAATACTTAATAATTATCAATAAATCACAGACATTAAATACCCTCGACCGGAGCCAAAATTTTCCCTTATATCTTTTAATCTTTTGGATTGTAAAAATATAAATTGTAACCTACCTCGAAGTCAATAATACACACTCTAAATTCGTTGTACATGATCTTTCCAGTATTGAAGCACCTTAATCACCACCATGATGATAAAATATTGGTCAAAATGACAATACAAACATTTAGACATATAATTGTAAAAATTAGAGACAGGCCCAAAATTGAATTAAAAAATGAGTCCGGTATTGAAAATTACAAGATAGACTCGCTCACAAAAGGTCCTAATCGACTTACAGGGCTTGTGTCTCTAAATAGGACACATTTTGATGCTCGAAAAAGTTCAAACTACAACTTGCTATAGAATGACCAGAAACACTATTAAATAACCTTGGGTAGCCCTCCCCCTCCCCCCTCTTGATTCCTCTATCAAACCAATACGCATTCATACCAGTTTCGTACAATATTCAACTTGAATCACCAAAAATAGAGGTCTAAAGCTCTTACAATCACGTTTTGAAAATGAGGAAGAAGGTTGAAAATTGAGATTTATAATTCGACAATCTCGTCTTAAATTCTACTGTTCATCGCTAAAAGTCTGCACTAGCAAATCAAGTTTGATAATTTCTCAAGTCTCCAAACCGACTCTCGAAATTTATTCAGGACTTGATGAAAATAAATCAGATATGCTGCCCCGCTATTTCTACATTTGAGACTCAGTGGGAATTTCATTGAGAGCATCTCGACAAAAAGAATGTCTCACACACAAACTTCATTTTAATTCAAATTCCATAAAGGGGCTAAAAATGAGCCTGGAAAACTCAATGTTCTCACTAAAGATTCTTCTAGATCAAACTCAACGTTTAAGAACTAAGAGAACCATCTGAATTTCATTGTGAGGACGTCTTTTTGAAGTTTTGATTGAACTCAATTGTTTGAACTTCATAAGCACAAAAAATTACAGAAAATGCAAACTAACGATCCGACAATCAAACTGTGGATCTCAACAAGTCATGAAGAAAGTGATAGATTGTTTTACGTGTAAATCTGAAACATTAAAATTTTAGTACTCAACATAACATTCCACCCTACATCTTAATAATTGATCACCATTACTTTAAAACTCTTCCTGCATTAAGTTATTTATATCGATAAGTGCACAACATAATATATTATTATCTCGACTATAAAATTTATCAGGATGTGATATTTAGTACCATAAGTTTGCACCAAATTAGATGAATCAATATCATTTTGCTTGTTAATATTGATAAGAAAATTTGACAATGATTTTGATAGTGAAATATAATGGTAGAACTAAAAAAACACATAAAGATTCTAATATCTTTAAAATAATAGCAACGATCAAAAATAATTTACCAACGTACTCATTATTCGTGTTAGTTGTGAAAGTAGAATATAAATTTGAAAGGTCATTTTCATAAAAAAAATTCTCTTATTACATTCAAATGCTCTGTAACAAAATTATCTACAATATACGTAATCTGATTATGGATAAAATCAAATATGAGCAACTACATTGGTGTGCTAAGGGAAAAATATAGCAAACGCTAACAGTCAAATTAGAGAAGATGAAACATAGTTAGATAGTGCAATTTATTGAGATTGTTGATTAAAAACTATGAACTTACCATATGAGAAATTGGGTAGATTTTTTCCCCTTAAGTTTGCAGTTCTATCCATTCTCCTTAGAGAAGTAACTGCAAAAGTATATTATATACGAAAAACATAATAAATTAAAGACATTCACATCAACAATCAAGCGTAAGGAACACTAAATTTGAACAATTAAAAAAATTAAAATTAAAAATAAAATAGGAATCGATAAATAAAAAATCAAAGAACCAAAAGAAACTACATGCAATCAACTCGAAATTCAGTGCATGAAACATTACTACAACCTAAAGGTCAAATGATCAACAAAATTGAATAAACAAACAAATCAATCGAATCAAAAATTGATATAATAAAACCTAAAATCAAAATCAAAAAATAAAGTCAAAGATAGCGGTTGTTGGATACCTGGCGGCAGAACTTATGAGAGCAGTAGAAAAAACCTAAACATGAATGGAGTGGAAGAATAATGTATTAAAATGACAATAACAAAATATAGTGCACTGAATGTGCTTTTTTTCTTAATCCGACTTCAATAAAAAAAAATTGAGTATCAAATAAAAAATGTATCAAACTAAAACAATCCAAAATATTTTCAAGTATTACTATTATTTTCATTTTTTAAGTCGTAAAACACTCAAGTCTAATATTTCATCTTCTTTTTGTGTTATTTTTTAGGACAATAACATAAATTTATTAGGACTCGAAGTTAGTTTGCTTATTAGATTGAATTATATCTTATATAATGTCACAATCTGACTATACACCGTGGACGTGACTAGCATTGGAGAATCATTTCCCAAAACGAAACCTCATCGCGGCTTACTACAAACAAAGGACTAACTCAAGTATACATAAGCTTAAACTAAATTAAGTTCATTAAACGCGAATATTCAACTTCAAAAAGTCAATCTGAACAATACTCAATGAGAATACCTATAGTTTATGAAACACTCAAAGAAAGTAAATACTGAAAGACACTTCAACTCTGTCTATCTATGAAGCCTCTACTATTACAAAATGATATCGGAACAAGATCTACGACATCTCAAAACTACTAATCGTAAGGTAAGTGAGGTCCTCCAGTATACAAGAAGGCTAGCCAAAGCTGACTGGAATGTCTAATGACTTCAACAAAATGTCTGTTGGTGATCCCGAACACCTATATCTGCATTATAAAATGATGCAGATCGAATGATATCAATACATTGAATGTGCGAGTATGTGATAAGGTAGGAGTAACAATTAGACTTCATGGGTGCCAAATTCATTTATTTCATACAAAGGTGCTATTTTGCACAATATACTGCATAGTTTTAGAAGTCATCCCAAAAAGACTTGGGTTCAAAGGTGAACTTAAGTACTGATTTTTTGTCACGATCCAAATCGGGCCGCGACTGGCACCCACACTTATCCTACTATGTGAGCGAACCAACCAATCTAACCCCAATTGTTTACCAATAATAACAGAAAATAATGCGGAAGACTTAAACTCATTAATGAAAATCAATTAAATAACTTCTAAAAACTCAACAACATTTATTATCCCCAAAATTTGGAAGTCATCATCACAAGAACATCTATCCTCAAATTACTAATCTAAGAGTATCTAAGAAGCTAAAGTACATAAAAAGCTAGTCCATGCCGGAACTTCAAGGCATCAAGACATGAAGAGGAAGCTCCAGTCCAAGCTAGAAGCATTAGCTCACCCTGAAATCCGGAGTAATGAAGACTGGCTAGAGTTGCGGTTGAGTTGAAGACGACGACACGTTTGCTGCACTCCACAAATAATCAAAAAGAAAACATACAAGTAGGGGTCAGTACAAAACACAGGTACTGAGTAGATATCATCGGCCAACTCAAAATAGAAAACAGTATATATCAGATAATATCATAAAATCAACTACAGTACTCAACATGCGGCATTTATAATTACCATAACCCTTGGTCGCAACACCAAGCACATCAATGAGGACTCACGCCTCCCCATCATACTCATTTGGGAATTAGGTTCATTAGATTGAGTATATTAACATCTTTCAAGATTCATTATCTTTATTCCTCTCGTGTCGGTACGTGACACTCCGCTCCTCATATACTATCCTGGTGTCGGAACGTGACACTCCGATCCTCATTCTATCCTGGTGTCAGAACGTGACACCCGATCCATATTCTATCCTGGTACCGGAACGTGGCACCCGATCCATATACTATTCTGGTGTCGGAACGTGACACTCCGATCCTCATATACTATCCTGGTACCGGAACGTGGCACCCAATCCATATACTATCCTGGTGTCGGAACGTGACACTCCGATCCTCATATACTATCCTGGTACCAGAACGTGGCACCCGATCCCCTAATCTCACTACTTTCGTTCATCAAGCCTTCTTTTACACTAAGGCATCATCATTAACAAAGAGATTTTTCAAGATTTAGGATTCAATAGCCTCATCATGCTTCTTTTATCACAATTACATAATCACATTCATGCAAGCATACAATTAAGCATATAGAAGGGTTTACAACACTACCCAATACATATCATTCGCTATTAAGAGTTTACTACGAAGAGCATAAAAACCATAACCTACCTCCACCGAAGATTAGTGATCAAGCAAGCAAGTTCCCAAAGCTGCGTTCTTCTCTTTCTCTCGCTCGATCGTTTCTCCCTCTCTCTCTCTGTTCTTTTTCTTATTCAAACCCTCTTTCTATTACCCTAATTAACATATAATTAAGTATAAAAGATGACCAAATAACCCACTAATCAATTTAAGGTTATCCCCTTTAACCCTCAAGAAATTGGATTATTAATATTAAATCACTAACTTTATAATTATAAGTCGGAATAGTCCAAAACGCCCTTTAAAATAATTACAGAAATCCGACCCAGCCTGGGATTACGCAGCCTGTGACGGGCCGTCGTTCCTGCGACAGTCCGTCCTGCTGCTCCGTCACAGAGTTCAGAGACCCCATTCCATTAAAGGGTCTGTGACGGCCCGTCACACCTGTGACGGTCCGTCCTGCTATTCCGTCACGAAGTTCAGAGAGTCGATTTCTGTACCCAAATTTCAGAATTCTAAGTGTTTTGGAACGAGACCCCCTCGACGGTCCATCGTGCTCATG